GATTGGTAATAAAGCAGAAAGACTTGAGGCTCATTTATGCTTGCCATACGTATGAAAATGTACGCTTCCATTTCAAACGATGGTTCCGTCACTGCCCACACACCTCCATGCATCCTTTACGTTGTCATTGATGTTAACCATTACATCAACCAGGGGGCAAGCTGGAGTCAATGGTTTCTGACAACAACAACCAAAAAGAAACATGGCGACTATGGAGGAGGTAGTGATAATGTACACTCACCGGCCACTTTATTAGGTACACCATGCTAGTAACGGGTTGGACCCCCTTTTGCCTTCAGAACTGCCTCAATTCTTCGTGGCATAGATTCAACAAGGTGCTGGAAGCATTCCTCAGAGAGCTTGGTCCATATTGACATGATGGCATCACACAGTTGCCGCAGATTTGTCGGCTGCACATCCATGATGCGAATCTCCTGTTCCACCACATCCCAAAGATGCTCTATTGGATTGAGATCTGGTGACTGTGGAGGCCATTTGAGTACAGTGAACTCATTGTCATGTTCAAGAAACCAGTCTGAGATGATTCCAGCTTTATGACATGGCGCATTATCCTGCTGAAAGTAGCCATCAGAAGTTGGGTACATTGTGGTCATAAAGGGATGGACATGGTCAGCAACAATACTCAGGTAGGCTGTGGCGTTGCAACGATGCTCAATTGGTACCAAGGGGCCCAAAGAGTGCCAAGAAAATATTCCCCACACCATGACACCACCACCACCAGCCTGAACCGTTGATACAAGGCAGGATGGATCCATGCTTTCATGTTGTTGACGCCAAATTCTGACCCTACCATCCGAATGTCGCAGCAGAAATCGAGACTCATCAGACCAGGCAACGTTTTTCCAATCTTCTATTGTCCAATTTCGATGAGCTTGTGCAAATTGTAGCCTCAGTTTCCTGTTCTTAGCTGAAAGGAGTGGCACCCGGCGTGGTCCTCTGCTGCTGTAGCCCATCTGCCTCAAAGTTCGACGTACCTGTCATTTCACAGCAGCATTTGTTACACTACCAAGACAGAGTAACGGGTGGTTATTTGAGTCACTGTTGCCTTTCTATCAGCTCGAACCAGTCTGGCCATTCTCCTCTGACCTCTGGCATCAACAAGGCATTTCCGCCCACAGAACTGCCGCTCACTGGATATTTTTTCTTTTTCGGACCATTCTCTGTAAACCCTAGAGATGGTTGTGCGTGAAAATCCCAGTAGATCAGCAGTTTCTGAAATACTCAGACCAGCCCTTCTGGCACCAACAACCATGCCACGTTCAAAGTCACTCAAATCACCTTTCTTCCCCATACTGATGCTCGGTTTGAACTGCAGGAGATTGTCTTGACCATGTCTACATGCCTAAATGCACTAAGTTGCCGCCATGTGATTGGCTGATTAGAAATTAAGTGTTAACGAGCAGTTGGACAGGTGCACCTAATAAAGTGGCCGGTGAGTGTATATCTTGCATAGGAGACAGAAACGGAGGCAGCGTTGGAGGAGGCAGTGGTCGGTCATTCCACTAAATGCCTCGTGGTTGGAGGATAGAGAATTCTTTTCTCTGGTAGTACTTACTTTCGACAACTTGCTTCGCCAGGTGGCCCCACACATCCAGCACCACAAGTCAAAAAGCCCTGACATTGTCGTCTTCGTTTCTCTCTAGAGATGCGTATTGGGTAGTGACAGCAGCAAGACTGCCCCCACAGTTTCTGGTGGTACTGCTCCGTCTGGCCTGTATCCATTAACCTCAAGGATCCGTGCAGAAATACGGACAAAAGAACATGAAGCACAGACCCATATGTAACGTTGAGCCTAAATGAGCTCGTTAATGAAAAAGGTTTAAGTTTTCTGAATCCGGGACAGGTGTGACACGAAAGCCTGAGAGTCAGGTCACTCTCTGATGTAAGTCAATAAACCTTTTATTTTAAATCAATTTTGTATAATGTACCACAACCTCTTTGTTTGCAAAGTGCAAAGGTCTGCAGAGGTGACGTTGATCCCTTCCACCATTCCTACAATTCAAATGAACCTGCTCATAAACAACCACTGTGACCCTTAGTATAATATCATTAAGTCTTTGAATGTTCACTCCACAAAATGTATGATGTTCTCCTAAGATCATTTAATATTGATGGAGGATCAAACAAGGTAACTATCAGTATCTCAGAAACTTCCAATGTATGGCACAGTGCAACTCTTAAATTTCAGCATTAAAGTAATAAAAAAAAAAGCTCCTGCGCTCTAGGGTTGTAATTTTGCAGTAATCTAGAGTTAATGTTGTATTCAAAGCAGCACATTTCTTTTTATTCTAGTCTGCAAGATTTTCCAGCAAAGGCACTGAGCTATTGTGGTTTTAATGCTTTAGTATTATATATATTATGTATATTAGCTATGAAAAGAGCACTTCCTTCGGCCCAAGCATTAAAGCTGAGAAAGCTGCTATTAGCTATTTAGATCAAAGGTACTCATTAGCACATCAGTGTCTTTTTTTTTTTTTTTTCTTTTTTGCCTGCATCTTCAGTTGAAAGTGCTTTCTCTGCAGCACGTTTATCAAGCTATGAGAGTCATCTTCCAGCATTGGTGTAACCCTGGGATTGTTTTTATTTTTGTCTGTTTGGAAGGACTGGTCGTTTACTCAAGCATGTCACAGGGTCTTACTGTATTTATTAAGACTCTCCTGCAAAAGCGTCATTTTATATATTTTTTTGTTATTTGTTTCAGCTCCTGAGTTTGAGTTTTTTCCAAAAGAGCTAGTCCTTCACATCAAAGAATCGAGAAGGGGAGCAATTAAACACGAGTAATTCTCAGAAAGCCTGTCACGCTATCGACAATAGATTAAGGTTTTTATAAGGGTCTCCAATTATGTTGCTACATGGTGCTGCATGAAAAGCAAATGGAGATGCTGCCTTGGATTTAGCTATGGTGCTACTTGACAAACGTCTGGTGACCACACTTTTATTAAGTAAGGTCAAGTCTTGTAGGAAGAAATCTGTGATTTTAAAAAAAAAAAAGGTTCCTCTCTATAATTGTTCTTGTCAGTGTTGATATTTAAAGTAGTGCACCTTTTTAACACATTTGTACATCACAAACAAGCTGACAGTATTTTAAATTATTTTAATATATATCCGAATAGGTCCTCTTTTAAATTTGACCCTTACATTGAAATTCCCAGCCCTCTGAAATAACCACCAGCTATTTCTATCAAGGGAATACTCTGTCTGCTCACAAATGTTTGTCCAGTGTGATTTTGGCTCAGATAAAGGAGGACCTGCGGTTGTTGTCAGACCATAATCCCTGCGTTTATTCTGCCTCCATAGTCACTCTGCCTGCCCCTGAAGAGGTTACCATGGAGACAGAGAGAGGAGAGGTCTCCTGACACTGAGCAGAAGTTGGTAATTGGCAGATTATCAGAAGACAGAGGTTACTGCAACCCTACTAAAGGTTCACAGCACCAGAGTTACAAACTGTACACACTTACAGATTATTATCCACTACGCTGTCCTTCCATCTGCGGGGGGAAAACACAACAAAGGAAGCTAGCGCTGCAATAAATAGCGCTAAATACTGTGAGGAGAAAATAGCTGGTCATTAGCCTTTACCCATTCTCTTGTTATAGTTTAACTGGCTGCAGATTTCTCTGGGGACGCTGCCAGCAGAGACACTGACACAAAGCCTTCAGAAGGCGGTGCTCTGGCAGTCTGAGGAAGCAGTACGGTGCTCCAACTCTAAATCTAGTGTTCAAGAAGAGGAGAGTGACTGCAGGTCTGAGATAAAAATATAGACATCAATCCGCTGCCTCTTTGGTTGATAACTTGCTTTTAATCAGGAATAGAGGTTTGCCAAAATGTAAAAACTCTCTTATCCCCGGATTTATCCAGTATTAGAAAGAGTGCACAGAACAAGGGCCTGTGTGACTAATGACATTGTCATGTGTCATTGATCCCAACGGGAAACATGTCCTACTGGGTGGCTGCTTTCCATTTTAAATCAGGATTGGCCACAGAGCAGGATCAAACAATGAGCCACTGTCCTACAAAAATAAGGGAGTTGGATTTTATCAGCCACAGAGGCAAGAACACTTAGTCTGCATCTCTCCTACTCATAACATCTCTGATCTTTGGGTTTCTCTGTATAGAAATTATACTTTTCTGTTGTCTTATTCAATATATCTTCTTTTATATATTCATATCGTAAACATTTTCAGGCAGAATGGAAGAAATATGTGTGCAATTTCATTTCCTTCTCAACTGATCAGATTGACCAATCCATCATGCGACTACAAATCAGAAAATCCCTAATCTGCAATGTCTCAACAGTAACCCAAAAGGAAACATAATCCTCCCGAGACTCAGTGAACCTAAATGACATCCTCCCGAGACTCAGTGAACCTAAATGACATCTTCATATTAGAAAGGCATGAATTGTTTTAAGATGACTCTATTTTAAAGGCATGGCCACAAGGGATATGAATGTTTCCTGCTAGCTGCAGAGGGGATTTAGATTCAATCCTGATCACATCATAAAGATTCATGCTTTAAGGGAACGAGTGAGGCTTAATGTTTTCAAATATTGTTTCCCAAATAAGTTGAAAAGGAAATAAAGAAAATCTGCATCGTTCCAAAACAGATTTTAATTTGTTTTTCATCAAATCACTTTTGATTTTCCAATTTTTAAACACATAAGTGCACGGTCATTTGATCTCTGTGACACTGCTTATTTAACCATATAAACATACTAAAGCTTTACAGTACAGTTACAATATAGTCAGTGAACTGTTTCAGTTTTGTCTACCTCAAAGGAAATAAACTCTCCTTCCCACAGCCTCTTTCAAAATAGCTGCCAAAATTGACACTGGTTGCAGACCTCAACCACAAACTAAGTGATAACAACAGACTTCACTACATGGTGGCTGGAAAAAAGGGTTTAATTTTCAGGGTTACTCGTGCTGCCTCTCGCTGATGTTTGCACAGTAACATACAGTAGACTTACTTAATTAGACTTAGTTCCTCCTGTTCCTATTGGAACACTGGGCGATGAGTCCCCTCCATTTGCTCTGGTCCCTAGCAACCCTTCTTGCTCCATGCCAGCTGACTCCCATCTCGCTCAGGTCTTCCTTGGCTGTTTGTCTCCATGTCTTCTTTGGCCTTCCTCTCCTTCTCTTTCCCCCCTCTGGCATCCAGTCTATTGCCACTCTTGCCGGTCTCTCACTTGGCAGTCGGAGTACATGTCTGGTCATTATCTTTCCCTTGTCAGAGACTTTGTCAGACGAGGGTACTACACCTGCCCTTCTCATCACCTCTTCATTGGTGATGTGGTCTCTCTATGATATCTTTAGGATGGATCTGAGGCACCGTTGATGGAAGACATCCAACTTTTTGGTGATGCTGGCTGTCTTTGTCCATGTCTCACAGGCGTAGGTCACTGTAGGGATGACCACTGACATATAGAGGCATAGCTTTGTGGTTGTGGTGATGGATTTCGATGACCAGATGTTCCAGAGTCGTTGGAAGACTCCTGCAGCTTTGCCAATTCTGGTCGGTACGTTTTTCTCCACGTCTCCAGTGGAGATGTTGAGATGATATTGAGATGTTGCTTCCGAGGTATGTGAAGTCCTCAATGAACTCTATGTCTTGTTCGCCTACGGTGAGTGGTGGAAGGTGTTGATGTTGTGCGGCGGTCATGGCCTTGGTCTTTTCTTGGCTTATACGTCGACCGACTTTTGCTCCTTGCTCATGCAGGTTGTTTGTCAATTCTTGGAGTGCAACGTGGGTATGGCTAATGAGCGCCAAATCGACTTCAAAGTCTGGTCTCCAGTGGCTTGGGCGAATCCAAAATGGTGAAAACAAGGGGGGTGTTCTGAGACAGGCTTTTACCTTTAAAATGGGGGTGCTCTGAAAACACCCCCATTAGCACTTGGTTCGTTCCTCCTGATGAAATTAACCATAGACTGTAGATTGACGTGGAATTAAATCAAGTCAACCAATCAGCATTTCTGTTGACTTAGCACCAATAAGTCGACCAGTCGACTAGGACTTTAGAGCCCTATAAATAACAGCTCAAAACTTGAATCAACTGGATCAGAACTTTTGAATCGGATCATTCTCAAGTTGTTATGACACTTGTACCCATTAAAAGTCCCATATTTTGACCAAAAAGACACCACTCATTTTCAATTAGACTGAAAACAGTAATGTTTCTCTTTCAGGCAAATTTAAATTTTTTCATGCAGTCTGAACACATGTTGACTTCATATGTAATGAAGTTTCTGTCAACAACTACCAGGAGCCATAGTCTTGAATTTAAGTTCTTTCTGGCTATCATTTGTAAATCACTGCACAACTTAAAGAGATTATCATAAAAGAAAAACACTTTGCCATCTGTTGGTTACGCAAAATAAGAAAACAGCTACTTGATCAGTGCTTATTAGAATTGCACCAGTGGATATGGTTAAAAAGTTTCCACTCATGAGATCATTGGTGCTCTCTGTGGATCCACCAAGTGTCCAAGTGGCGCTAGTAGTGATCCCATTAGCCAGCTACTCATTAAACTCCAAAGCACTGCAGCTACATTTGCTAACAACTTAACAATAAGTACTATGGCTGTAATGGCCGTCCTCTCCACCCAGTGATTTTGTTAAATGGACCAACATTTCTGAACGATACATCCCTCCAACTGTGTACTCTGTGCTGCTCTGCCAAACAAGCTGTTAGCTGTATCTGCACACTCTCACTCCTCTGCAAACTATAAAGAACAAGACACAGGTGCACACACATACACACACTTTCGGATACAGCGTTCAACTTCATAATCACAAGTGTAGACAATCAACATAAAAAGGAGATTAAGCTCGGCTATGAGAGTGGGTGGGAGTCACACTCGCATGCAGATGGCATCGTTTTCTGTCTGTTGCAGCAGTCGCTTTGAAATGGCGAACAGAGGGGGGTTCGGCTGATACACTCCCCGTTCAAAGGGAACCGGCGTCGGCTGGGTGCCCCCAGGCCAGCAGCACATCTCATGACAAGATAATGAGAGTTTAACATCAAGGCTCTAATAAATTTACTATTAACATCACAAGTGTGTTGATGCTACTATCATGTGGAGGAAAGAGGGACTTGCTGAGAAAGATTATGGTGTGTTTGGATTTCAAGGTCTTTGCAAGCATTAAAACCCAGGTTTATTCCAGGGCGCAAATGCATGTTTGAATGATTCTGATCCAGTTTTCAGGCTCTTAAATTCTCATCCTCATGTGTGCCCGAACTCACAGGTCAGAAAATCTTGAACACAGAGAGAGAGCGCGCGCACACAGTCTCTTTCCTCCTCCAGTGGCTCGGACAGCGCAGCAGAGAGCAGGGGTCAGCTTTTATGGATCCGAGATAATTGAAAACGATAAATATGGCCTTTCAAAGCAAAGAAAATAAACTCGGCCCTTCACTAGATTTAATGTTCAGCCAAGCGGCAACATTGGCACAGTCAGTGGAAAGGGTTGCCAGAAACACACCTCTCTGTGTACACTGGTGTATGTGTCTCTGTGTGAGTGTGTGCCCCTCGCCCACAGAGACACAAGCTATAAGAATGGATAACAGCTCCTCCAAGGGTCATGTCCATCTTTAGGAAGACATTCACCACATCCTTGTTAAACAAGACAGCTTTGAAGATTACACTAGAGTCCACAGCCTTCACTCCCCTATGCAATGCCTTGTACAAATCATTTTTATTGCTGTTAGGTGTAGAAATATGAAACAGAGAACTATACACTTATAGCACCTCCAAAAAATAAATGACCTCTTAAAAAAGTATGATCAAAAAGGACGGAAAGAAATAATGTGAGTCAGAGGTCATCCTTTCACACACTTTTCATACAGCTGTGTTTCAGCCACGTTGCACACCTTTTAACTCACTGCCCTACGTATGAGGTGTATTTTTTCCTTTCCTATATATATAACAAATGCAGTTTACATCAAGTTGTCTCCTCATGGTTGTCCACCCCAGCTTTGGTTAAAAAATGGGGTACGAACTAAAGAAGCAAGTACAAGGCAAATGACCTCTCCATACTAGGGATGGGCAATATGGGCTGAAAAAAATGTATCACGATAAATTTTGCCATTCTGGCGTTAATGATAATAGTCACGAAAAAAAATTATACAACTCCAATCTATATTTTTGGCTCATTTTGTCTTGGGAACACCAGATGGAGTAGTCAAATAAGATATCTAACCACAAGTTTGAGTGGTAGGTTATGGAGAAAACTAATGACATCAAACAAGTCTTATTGCTATAACAGCAGATCTATTGTCCGATGTCAGGCATACCTGATTGAAATCCTCTAAGCCCCCACCATGTACCTTCACGTGCCTGACCATCGAGGTCCCGACGACCAGCACGGAGGGGGCGCGCTCCTCCACTGGCTGCTGGGAGTTGCGACGCTGGGAGTTGCGCTGCGAGAGCCACGGCCAGCTGGGTGGACAGGACCCGGCGGCGAGCTGGACCGCGCTCCCGGGGGGGGGAATCCTGCAGGCTGAGGGCTTCGTACCTGTTGGACAGCTGGAGTTCACAGGTGGGCTGCGGGCTGGTTCTGTGTGCCCTCCTGCTACCTGCCACAGACTGCCAGGGCTGATGCCGCAGAGTAGAGCTGAGTGCTCTGTGCCTCGGATTTAGTGTAAAATCCAGTGCTGTAGCAGGCAAGAGCTTTGGCTTATCACCCAGCGAGTGCCAGTGGTCGTCGGGCTGGGGATGCGACGGCGGAACCACGACAGCCAGCCCGGCTGCGGCAGAAGCACCTCCGGGGCCGGGAGCCGGTTGGGAAACAGAGGCATCCGCGGGTCTCACCGGAACCGGCGGAGCAGCGTCTGTCAGCGGGATGGTGGAGTCCAACTCAGACGCGTTGAAAGGGGGACCTGCGCCCAGTGTGGTCACAGAGTCTAGGAGTTTTTCCTCATCCCGGATCCAATAAAAGGTTGGAAATACGGCGCTCCAGTTTGACAATTGACTGAGATTTTTGTAGGCAGCCATCGCACCTGTATGGAGGGGTAGGTGGAGCTGCGGTGGAGGCAGTCATAGCGCTTCGCCGAGCGAAATGAGCTAACAGGCAGTCCAGCAGGCAACGGGGTAAAACTCTTAAAATCCCCGTCCGATTGTTAAAATCGTTGCTCTGATGAAGAGTGTAGTTTAAAAACAGCCTAGATCGAGTGAGTGTGACATGAATATCATTCTAAAAACTGCATAAAATACTAATAAAAAGCCAAGTCACTCAGGCTTGATCTGCTCGGGGTCTGGTCTGCGTCTGACGTCACACGGACCTGTTATTCTGTTATTCAGATCTATGTGGGCTACGGCTGCAAGTCTATCCATTGCTTACGTTATCGACTTGCATCTATCACATTTATCTTGAAATGGTAGTGATGGGAAGAACAGTTCTTTTGACTGTACTGAATCTGTAGTATCCGTCCAATAAAACGATTCGTTCAAAAGATACGTTCACTGAATCAGTCACTGCTTCAGAGCCCCGTCCTGCCGGTGCAGTCCACGAGTGAGTGACACAGCCATGAGTTCGTTCATTGAATGAGCCCCTCCCCTCCCCTGCTGAAATTAAATCTTTCTTGCAGGAAAGTTTATACAGGTGTATTAATGTAAAGGCACTATAATGCACTGTTTTATCTTAGCCTCAGTAAATAAATGGGTGTTCAGCAGTGAGTGAACGACACTATACCCCCTTCCTCCTCTGTCTGCATCAAGTCATTCAGAAGTAGTTTGTTTCGTTCTGTTCACCATGTCGTTCACTGACTGACTGAATCAGACCGTTCACTTACTGATACATGTCGCTCACAGACTGTTTCGTTCACTGACTGATACGTGTTGTTCATTCACTGTGAGTGAATCACGGGACTCCCCCCGCCCACTTGTTGGCTGGCTGTGTGTGTGTTGTTCACTGGCTGAGCGCAACTGAACTGAAAAATGAACGAATCAGGTCTTGGAGTGAATCAGTTCATGTTGAACGACACAACACAATGAGATCGCAAACATTAATCGTGAAGGATTTTTCTGGTGATACATCGTGAACGATAATTTATTGTCCATCCCTACTCCATACCGACTTAAAATAATCAAAATCTCTGCTAACTCACTTAGAAATCTCTAGACAATAACCAGCTCTGTTCATACGTCCTCTCAGTTTCACTTGGCATGGTCCTTGTGCTTAGAGCTTGCAAAGTAAAACCCGTCTAATGTCAAGTCTGACTGTTTTAGACGTTGGTGTCCTCTCAAACATCTCCTCTGGGTGATGTTTGCCTCAGTCCAAGCTTGCAGTGCCTGTGTCTAATGTCTACAAACTGTTTGGCTATAAAGAGGCCCCTAAATCCTGCTCTATTATGGTGGTGTTTTTTTAAATAACATTATCACTTTAAAGCGTAATTTAGCAGGCTTAAGACGTGTTGTTTCAAATACATTTTCTCTGCCAGACTTGTAGACAACTGAATCCTGCCAAGGCTTGTTAAAAGCAAGATTCTGAGAGACAAAAGTGACAGAGACTGAGCCAGACAGAGCGGGAAACCTTTGGGCTCTGGACAGACTAAAATTAAACTGACAGACACTCTGTGTAGGAGTGAAAAGGGTTTAAAGCCAAATGCAATTACACAAGACAATGAACTCAAGACATCTATCCTAGTTACATCAGTAAATAACACGAGTGGAAGATGGAAACACAGAAGGGCTAAAAGCATTCAAACCACTTATGGCTTGATGCAATGAAATAAAGTGCTCATAAAGAGTATAAACATATTTTCTTTGTGAACATTCATATTGATGAAGTAAACACAGCATAGACTCTGTTGTTTTAATTTTCCATGTCCTTGTTAAAAACTGCTCTCAAGTTGTAGGTGGCAGTAGGTGGAAGAAAAGGCAATGGAGATGATAGAAAAACTGAAGTATATGAAAAGTTAATGATGCTTTTAAAACATTCTTGAGAGAAAAAATCTGTGCACCACCATTCAACATTTAAAGCAGCATCTGTTTTTTGTATGTGAAATATTAAATAGTGGATCAGACAGTCAGTGAAGATGCCACCGGGGAGCCTCCCTTTAGGACACGGTCCTCGGCATAAACAAAAGTGAGGTTACCTCAGGCGGAGTTTTGCATAAGCTGGAGGGACTACATTTCCCTGCTAGACTGGAAGCACCTTTCCTGCTCCTGCATCTGGTAGAAACAGCAAAGGATGGGTGTCCCCAGTGGTCTGCTTCCCCAGCTGTGACTGTAAATTCAAACCTGAAAACAAAAAGACACAGATGGGTGGATGAAAAATAAAGGGAAAAAAGCTGTTTTTTTTTTTCTTTTTAAATATGGTTTCAGAACAAATCTTCATTGAAATAACTTTTCTGAAACCCCAATTAGCTGTAAATAATTTTGCTTTTGAAGCGCTGCTGTCTCCCACAGGAACTTCACATTGTAAACAGTCCTTTTGAGTCTGAAAAATAAAAGATGAATGGAGACTTATAAAATGCTCTCATGCAACATGTCTGGGTAACAGAGTTAAGTCATTAACAAAGTGGAGCAGAACTTACTTACAGAAAACTATAGAGTCTAGAGTTTCTGTAAGTGACCTAGAAACTGATGCTAGCTAGCTAGAAGCTGGGGTTAGCTGTGGTACCTGTGACTCCTACAATGGGGCCAATTTTATGATATCTCAACCCAGCAAAACCACTTTGTTTCTTTTTTGTTTTTTTCTTATCGTCAAAATGAGGAGCGTAGGACGAAGCTTCCATGCCATTTCACACACACTGGATGCAAAGCTGTGAGACCCATATAGTTGGGAAAGAAAGGGAAACCTTGTAGATATAAATATATATATATATATATTCTACTTAAAGTGACCACAGTTCACAGTGGTCTTTCAGTTGTGATTCTGTTAGCCAAGATCATGTTACCTGTGAAATTTTCAAGGACTTTTCTTCTGCAGAGCTCCAGCAGCTCATTAGAAATTCGCCTCTGAGTCGTGGGTGGAGACAGCGCTGCTCCGCACACTCGTCTTCATGCTAGCTTGCAGCCTAACATTGCCAGTGTAGTAGAAGTAGCTGGTCATATAGGAGATATTGAACTCTTGGACATTAATGTCTCTGAGGACATGACAAAAGTTAATATCATAATTTGCTTCCTGCAAGCATTGCAATCCGCTAATGCACATGCTTGTTCCATGATTGTCCTCTCTACTTCTCTGAGTCTGGCCTGCATAGTGGTACACAGGGGGCTGAGTTCGCAGTTGTGATGTACAAAATCTTACTGTGTCTAAACCTGCTGTTTGGGTCTGCTAGAGAGTCACAGCGAACTTTAGGATGTTTGAACAAAGGCCAACATGTGGTCACCTACATGTGTAACTTACTCAGTATCTGAGTTCTACTGCTTAGTCAAAGGCACCATCCGTGGATTGTTGGTTACATTTATGCAGGCATCGAGAAAGCAAACAAAACATGACTGAGGATTGAATATATAAATGTCTGTTATAAGAAGTAAATTTTGCTGAACAAACATGTAGAATTCACACTAAGACCAAATTTGATTAATAGTCTGCTCTTTTTTTGTGCAGACAGAATCAACCCAGAATATCTTATAACAATTTTTCAATGATCTAAATCTCATGACTCTAAGCAGTTCAAAAATGATCCAACTGGGTTCAGAAACTGCAAATCTTATTTTGATTGAAGTCAGCATGACATAAACTCAACGCTCAAAAGCTAAGCTCACCATCCATGCTCAACTCCAGAAGAATATGTTTCTGCAGCATCTGTCTCACGTTGCTCTAAAAATGAAGACACGATGTGCCGTCTTTAAATGACAGAGAGACACATTAACACCTGCACACACTGCTGGATCAGAGTGTACTGACTTTTATTCCTGTTGTAAAAGGAAGTCATTTCACTGTAGCACTGCTTGCTGTACCTGCAAAAACCACTTGTGTTTTGAGTTGTATCTCTACATAAGAACCATCAGGACTCTGAGAATTACATTATTTTACACTAACGGTTCCCTGGCATCCAAAATAAGTATTTTTAGAAAAGTGCTATCATTATGTTACAGGGGGAAAGTATCTCGGTTTTGGGAAACTGGTTTAAATGATTAAAGGAAAACAGAGGTTAGGCAGGGAGGCGATTCATCACTCAGCTGTCACATTAACTTTGGCTCATCAGTCAGAGGGTTATGAGACTGCGTGTGTAGGCTTTCAATCCCTGTCGAATCTGACACATGACATTTGTCATTATCTCAACACAAGAGAGATTTTGTGTGTGTGCAGGTGTGTGTGCTTTATGCAAGCACAAATCACCTGTGTTTGTGTGTCATCTGAACACACAATTCTCTTTTCACCTCTTCTCACTCAACCCTGCATGTCACTTATCTTATTGTAGGTGTCACAGTAAAGGTTAACACTCTCTAATTCAGCACTTGACAGGTCATGGGGAGACAAACAATGAAACCAGGAGAATGTGGAAATGGTCTGACAGATGTTTTGTATAGCTGGAGTTGAAGGGGAATTCTCTAGGAATGACTTACCCGGGATATTCACTGCATCCGGAATGGCTTCAATCTGGAACGGCAACGTACGCCAATTCCTACCGGATCTGTTTGAGAGGCGAATTTCATGGTGGATTACGGACAGCAGAAATCACGAGAACTCACAAGAACCTGCGGATTCATGTGTAATTGTGTGATAACAAGTTGTCTTTAGCCACGCAGGCTAACCATATAAGCAGTAGACTGTGTCCTTCCAGAGGAGGAAATCTACTTTTGGAATCAGCATCTCCTCATTCATGGTGTCATCGGGGTGAAACGCTGTCTAACAACCTTTCTTTTGTTCATCCCTGCCCGTTTGCATGGTGTGGAATACAATCCTCCAGAAACATGACGTGTTTTATTTTGAAAGAAGCCAGGTTAATCTGTGCTGAATTTATCCAGCATGCTCCGGTGTCTGGAAAAAAATTGAACTCTTGCGATCAGCTGCGGAGTCTGGCGATCCACAGCGGAACAGA